ACACTCTTCTCTTGGGCCAGAAAACATAGAGCTAAGGCAAATAAATACATCCTTGCCATAAGGATCAAGTACAAGCACTTGAAGACAGTAGTCCAACCTAAGTCCCCAAAGCAGAGCTGCTCACTGAAGCAGGAGGTGCACTGGGAAGGTGAGAACCTCAAATCCAGCTGAGGGTCCAACAAATTCACTCAACCCTTCTGTACACTTGTGTGCACCTACCTACACTTGAAGGAGTCCCCATGCTCCAATTAAAAAAAAAAAATTTTTTTTTTTTTTTAAGTTTCACTTAATGTGCACTGGTGTTTTGCTTGCATTGAGGCTATCAGGTCCCTGAAAACTGGAGTTACAGACAGTTGTGACCATCCATGTGGGTCCTGGGAATTGAACCTGGGTCCTCCAGAAGAGCAGTCAGTGCTCTTAACTGCTGAGCTATCTCTCCAGTTATTCACCCCCACCCCAGGAAAACTGACCTGAGAAGTCAAGAAAATTGCCGACAAAAATCACATAGAAAACTAGTAGTAGGATCAGAACAAAAGTCTGGTAAATTTAAGCACCAGGCTAACTATTCTAGGGGACTCAGAATGCCAGAAAAGCATAGCTTTTTGGGGCTAGCAGTGATTATGTTTATTTAGGGGAGAGGGCTGTGAATGAAAGAAGACAACAACTTCAGAGTCCTCAGCAACTTCATGATGTGGAACCCAAACTATGTGAGGAGCCCAAGAGGTTTCCAGGAAGAAAACCAGGACAGCTTGAAGCTATAAAAACTTTAAAACAAAAATAAGGAATTTTGAGGATTCATGGAGAAGTCTAACTAATGACTAAAAATTTGGACTCAGATGGCTGGAGAGATAGATGGCTCAGTGGTTAAAAGCGTGTACTAATCCTGCAGTGAACCAGAGTTCAGTTTCCATCACCCCTATCAGGCTGCTCACAGCTGTAACTCCCAGCTCCAGCAGAATGGTGCCTCATGCACATTATCCTTCCCCACATACATACGATTACAAACAAACAAACAACCCCCCCCCAAACAAAAAACAAAAAACAAACCCGGACTCAGAAATCAGACAAATCTATGTTCAAATCCTGGGTCTGACATATCACTGTGCAATCCTAGTTAGGTAATTAATTTTGAATTCCTCATCTACAAGTGTCTGATCAATTTGATCATAGTGAAGATAAAGTGACAATATCTAGCACACAGAGAAACAATAAACAATATCAAGAAATGAGTATGAGGACTTAAGAGAAAACGAGATTCAAGGCTGTCCTCAACTTAAAGCTTCTGGGACTTTGCATAATGGCTAGTTGGGAATTGGTAACACGCCATTCCTGTTTCAAGTGCTTCCAATTAGGGATATGATTCTCTTTGGAGTGCTTAAACCACCTACACCATAGGGTTTTATCTACTTCATGTCTTAAATGTTCTCGTTAGTGGCTCATACTGTTTAGTCTATCCGGATCCTTTCTCATGGCTCCCTACCTGGGATGCTCAATGCCAAAAGCATTAGACACCGAGCCTCTCATGGACATCGCCTCAAACATCTCTTGAGAAGTTGTCCATGACTTCCTTTCTAAGGGATCTATCACATTACCTCTAGTCTCAGAGGTCTCCTTTACTTAAACATAAGACAACTGTCCCCAGGAAGTTCGACCCTTGAAAGGACCCCATCTCGCCACATTCAGTCAGTATTAAAAAAAAAAAAAAAAAAAAAAAAAAAAGGTGCTCAGCTGAATAAGTGGGGAGGAGAGAGTACGCTATATCCTCAAGAGTCCGAGGGAGGCCTTGAGTAACTTAGGCTACAAAGCAAGAGGACAGTTAAAAAGCAGGCAGAAAAGAGCCAAGTAAGTTTTTCATAAGATGCTCAAGTGGGGAAGATGCGGGGGAGCGTGGTGGGAAGGCTTGATGCAGCGGTTGGCTTGGGGAAAAGACCCAGAACGCTAGGATGAGGCCAGGGCGCCGAAGCGGGTGCATGACGCCTGCAGGCCCGGAGGGGCAACGAGGGGCGGGCTCCTACCTCGCGCCTGCAGCAGTCGCAGCGCGCGCTCGTACAGCGCCGAGGCCTCGGCGTACTGGCCGTTGCGGAAACTCTGGTTGCCGGCGGCGCGGAGCTCTTCCACAGAGTCTGGGAGTTTGGGGGCCATCCCGGGAGACCGGCAAACAGGGACCACCTCCGTTCCCCGCAGAGTAGTGCGCAACAGCTTCCGGGCGGAAGCGGCGGCTGCGTGCCCTTAAGGCCCGCAGACGACTGGCCCCGGGGGGCGGGGCTGGGGGGTCGCAGCTAGGCGGCGAGGGGCGGGAGGAAGCGCGGGGTCAAGGCCTGGGAGGGCCTGGTGTGGCGGTTGGACGCGGGGATAGGAAAACCCGAAGGCTGAGCCAACCTGAGGCCAGGTGCGGGGGATGCAGGTGGAGGACGCAGGCCCGGAGGGGAAACGCGGGGCGGGTTCCTACCTCGCGCCTGCAGCAGCCGCAGTGCGCGCTCGTACAGCGCCGAGGCCTCGCCGTACTGGCCATTGCGGAAGTTCTGGTTGCCGGCGGCGCGGAGCTGTTCCACAGACTCTGAGACTTTGGGGGCCATCCCCGGGAGGGTCGGGAAACAGACCAACTCGGCTCCCAGCTAACTAGTGCGCAACAGCTTCCACCCGGAAGCTGCGGCTGCGGGCCTTTAAGGCCGGCGGCTGGCTGGCCTCGAGGGGCGGGGCCAGACGAGGTGGGGCTAGGTGGGCGGGAGCGTGGGCTCCAGCCCTTAGGTTTGGCGGCTCATTGTTCTCCAGGGGTAGGGCTGCGAGGGGCGGAGCCAAGAGGACCGGAGGCGGGGCCTTGAAGGATGCCGGCCCTCTGCGCATGCTCAGTCTGGAATTTGTGCTCCACGTTTTTTCGGGGGGCAAGATAATTCACCATGACTGAATTATCATCCCTCGTGGGCCTCACAGTCCGGGGGTCCTGGGAAGCAATTAGTTCACGACCAAAAGAAGATGCACATTTTGTCAAGAGATTAATGTTATAAAGGAGCAAATCGCGGGGTGATGCAAACCTGTGGAAGGCTAAGGCATCTTCGAGGATTGTGCGGTCTACACAAAGTGAGACTGATCAAAAAAGACAATGCACACAAAAGAATACAATACATTTCCACACCCACCCACCCCCACACACAAAATACAGAATCAACTAAATTCGAAGTAGCTAGGTTTGGTGGCTCAGGTCTGTAATCCCACCACGTGGAAGGCTGAGGCCAATATAAGTGGGCTCTTTTAAAACAAAATCAAGACAACACAGTCATGTTATAGGAAATATCGTGGAGGCGGTTAGACATGAACTGGCTGAGGACGCCTCTGAGAGTAATTGAGCTGAAACCTGAGATGTAAGGCATAGGCTTCCAGAGAGCTGTAAAGTACCTGGCATCTTGTGGACTATAAAATGTATTTAATGAGTGAATACAGATGAATCAAGCTCTTCCACTGAGGTTGACCTCACTTTAAAACAATAGTTTTTAGTAGGTGTTGTGGGGACAGCTGCAATCATGTAGCACGGAGGCTGGCTGCAACAAGAATATCAGGAATACCAGGCCAGCCAGGGCTACAACAGTGGGAGACCCAGTCTCAACGAAAACAAACAAACGGATATATGCTAATTAAAAACTAAATCATAACCCACTAGCAAGCAAAAGCCCCAAATTGGACCCATCACGATGGCACATATCTTTAATCCCAGCGTGTGTGTGTGTGTGTGTGTGTGTGTGTGTGTGTGTGTGTGTGTGTGTGTGTGTGTAGGGAGTGTGGAGGGGGGACAGGCAGGTCTCTGGTCTACCCAGGGATGTGTAGTGAGATGCTGCCTCAAACAAATCCCTACAAAGAAACCTGAACCCGACACAGGACTTTGAGGACGCAGTGAAGAAACCACAGGAATCTGTGAGCTTTGATCTATCTGCCAACAATTCTTTAGTCCAGTTTGAGCTGAGCCTAGACTGCTGTTTTTCAAAACAGTGGAACTGCTCTTTTTGGGGGTGTGTTAGGTCCAAAAGGAACCTCCAGTCCCCCACCGATTAGGCTCAGCTTGTGCTGAATATTGACAGGGTAAACAAAAGGATTATTAGTGTATTCCTCTGGAACACAAGTTTCTGTCTACCGAAAGGAGCCACTTCCAATATCCTCCCTTGTCTGCAGGCAAAAAATGATTATGGTTCTCTGTTGACACAAAGCTGTGCTTACACATCAAACCCCATGCTAATCTCCAGGCTCCATGAGTCCTTAGTAACATGTACCTGTTACTAAGCCCCCTGCTAGCATCCTAGCCCTTCTCATCTCCGCAATGCTAGCTTCCAGGCTGTTCAGATTAAGTTAGTTCACTCCCTCCACAGCTGCTCTGCATTCTAGTAATAGCAACTTTTTTTTTTTTTTTTTGGCTCGACCCGCAATTTTCTTTTTTCTCTATTCTTGTTTGTTTTTTGAAATAGGGTTTTTCTGTGTAGCCCCAGGTATCCTGGAACTAGTTCTTTTAGACTAGACTGGCCTCGAACTCACAGAGAATCTCCTGCCAAAGCCTCCCTAGTGCTGGGATTAAAGGCCTGCGCCACCACCACCTGGCTCTCTTAGCTACTTTTGTCTGCTCCCAAGAAATAGCTCTGGCCAGTCAGCTTTTTCTCTTTGCTCTGGACTCTCTCAGATGCCTTTGGTTCTTAAAAACCTCCCCAAACACAGAGCAGACATTTCGGTTGTTTTATTTTACTGAGCTATAGCTTACAGGGTGCTTGGGGCTTTTCCCTTTAGCCCTAAAAAGAACTCAACTCTTATCAAGACCATGCTTTGCTAAACCTCACTGCCTGAGAGATTGGGGAACCCTCAGGCAATCAGGCCTAAAGTACTCAGCCCAAAGGCAAATCAAGGAGAGGGTGTCGCTAACACTTGAGCCACTAGAGGTCGCCCGAGAGGCACCCCTTCGGTTTTTGGTTTCTATGGCTGCGTGCCACAGTACCACGTGATCCATGTCGCTCGGCAACTCCTCCCGCCGCTTCCGGTAGGGGCGGAAAGCGGAAGTGTGGGAGGGTTTGCAGGGCGGGCTTCGGGAGGATGGAGCATTGAGGCGCTCTGGGCGGCTGCCGGCAGCGCCATGGAGACCGTGCAGCTGAGGAACCCGCCGCGCAGGTGAGGGGCCGTAGCCTGAGAGGAGGAGAATTGGGTGGGGAGGGGTGGCGCGAACTTGCTGAGGGGAGGTAACCCGTGTGCAAGCCCAGGGCGGAGAGGGACCCGCGAGACAGGAGACGGAGCTGCAGGGGCACCTGCTGAGAGAGGGAGCATCCGCTGGCCCAGATAGAAAGTGGGTTTGGTTACAGGGAGCACTCTCTGTCGGGGGCTCCCCTGAGCAACCTGCGGACAAGTTAGGAAGACACCTGCCGAGGCTGGGGAAAGCTCCCCAAGAAGAGACTCGAGGACTTAGGGGCGAATGCTGAGGGTGGGTGAAAGCGAACCCGTTTGGGATGAGCGAGAACTCACTGAGAGGGTCTTGAGTCCCACAGACCATGCGGTGGGGAAAGGTCTGTTGCATTGCTTCTGAGGCAGAAGGCGGTAGAAAAATTGTTGGAGGTCTTATAGCTAGTAAGAGGTAAAGTGGGAATTTTGTGTCCTGGTGGCCCTGTCCAAAGTTATTGCTCCTAACTGCCTTACTGTGGCGAACCAAAGTTTCGTGGTTCTAGTGATGGAGAGAGGGTCGTGGAGGGTGTTCTGGGTGTCATCCCTATTTGGGGATGATGATGATGGTGGTGGAGGTGGTGAAGGCTTTTGTTACTGTTTTTTTGAGTGCCTGCCTAATTCATATTCTCCTCAGCCTTCCAAAACCCAAAGTTGGGACATAGGTAAGGAAAGAAAATACTCGAGATGGGTAAGCTGAGGTCCAATAAATAGAGTTTAGATACAGTGGATCCAGCCAGACTGTGTTCCTTTCAAATTGTGTTTCAGTACTATCAGCTCCAGATTCTAGAAGTATCTGGAATCGGTTTGGGTCAAGATGACTAACTCTAGGAAGTCTGCCCTCCTGCACTGGTTGTTGTTGTGTTGGACCACTCCCCCCCACCTGGAGAAAAGAGCACAGAGCCTGAGGGAGTCATACTTCTCAGATGCAGCTAAAACCTTCGGTTTCACAGAGAAGACATTTGACTTCCTGTAGCAGAGTGAGCACTAAAATAGGAAGTGTTCAGAATAAGGGAGTGCCCGGCAACTGAGGGGTGAAGGGAGGGGATTGAACCCTGGGGAGCACTCTTGGGGGTTGCTGGGAGTACACAGACATGGAATAAAACAAATAGCTTGTTAGTGTGGTGTGCTGAGACTGTAATAGCAACAGCCATTAATTGCACCCAGAGAGCACTTATAGGGTGTCAGGCACTGTTTTAATTGCTTTCCATCTCGCCTGTTCAACCATACGAAATTGCCGTGTTTGGCCACTTTTGAACTGGTTTAAAAAAAAAAAAATGGTACATTGAAATGGTACAACCTACTAACTCACTGACCTTCACAGCTATTGCATGAGGAGGCTATCTTTGTGTCCCTATTTCACAGGTGATAAAGCCAGGGTGGCAGGTCATTTGTTCGCTGCTCCATAGTTAGTAAGAGGCAGAGCTGGAATTTTAATGTCTGGTGATCGAGTCCAAAGCCTTGTTCTTATGACTTCCCTACTCTGGCATTTTCCTGGAAGTTACCTGCTACACTGGGTCTTTGTATATGTGTATCTTAGCAGATAGTTACTGTATGTATGTATACAGTCAGTACCACTAGCTTCGTTCTTTCTTTTGGTTCCTTTTCCCCAAACCTTCATTTAAGTGAAATGAGAATTGTCTCCCTTTGTGTTTGGTGATCGTGGGCAGGGTTGATTGTTTTTATGTTGTTGTTGTTTTTTGTTTTGACTTTCCTCAATCCTTGAACCTTTTGGATTTTTTTATTTTTAACTTTTCTTTTCTTTTGGTTTTTCAAGACAGGGTTTCCCTGTGTAACAGTCCAGGCTGTCATAGAACTTGCTTTGTAGACCAGGCTGGCCTCAAATTCAAAGAGATCCCAGTGCCTCTGCCTCCCGGTGCTGGGATTAAAGTTGTGTGCCACCACTGTCCAATCTACCTTCTGGATTTTAAGAACTGTAATTAATTGAAAGAGAAGAGCGTTGCAGGACTGAGTCGTTGGATGATTGGTGCTGTCCTGTTCTTTGTAACTAGTGGACTGCCAGGTTTTATTATCATCAGTGTTATCTGGCGTGGGTTGCTGTAATAAGTACCATACCTGGGTGGTTTAAACAACAGAAATAAACTATTTGTCTGCCATTCTGGAGGCTGGAAGTTTGAGATCAAGTGTCTTTGGCTTACAGGCTACCTTTCCCCCACATCTTTATGTGGTCTTTATTCATATCTGTCCCTGCCCTCATCACTTCCGCTTACAAAGTCATCTATCTCCAGCTACAATCTCACATCCTGACGTTCTTTGGGTTAGAGTCTTAATGTTTGCATGAAGAATAGGGCATAGATGTTTGCATGAAGAATAGGGCATAGTTAATTTAGTTGCCTTTTTGTTTGTTTTGAGACAAGGTCCCACACTATAGCTCAGGCTGGCCTCAAACTCACTACAGTCCAGCTGCCTCAGCCTCCTGAGTGCCAGGCAGGAGCCATTGGACCTGACAACTTTGTAATTAAAATGTTTCAGTTTATCTTTTGTATTTATTGTAATCTGTAAAATTCTGTTATTTGGCCCTTGAGAGTTCTAACATGGGATAGATGATTGAAAATTAGCCGGATCTGAGTACCACTTTATAACATTTCTTGTATTTTGAAAGATACAGATCATTTCTTGAGAGATTCAGCTAGTGTGCTCCCCTGCAGTCTCATTGCAGGAAATACAGTTTATATTTATGAGCTTGACATGCCTTTGTGACTCAGTGGCTGATGATGGATGGTGTCTTGCAAGAGTTAGTGATTTTTAAGACGTCAATTGCCATTGGGTAATGGTGTAGTGGAAGGCTCAGGGCGCATTCCTGGGATGCTGGCCATTCTTGTGTCGGCTGACTTAGGATAGGAACATCACCAACATTTGGTGTGTGCTATTGCATTTATTGGCCAGGCCTGTTCATTATGATCAAGAAAAACATTGGTATGGGATGTCATCCCACACAGTTCACCAGAGTCAGACCATTTGGGTAATAGTCCCTGTTCTTAAAGACTCAGTCACTTAGCAGATGTTTCATAGAAATTTTGTTTGTTGATAACCTGCTAGTTGGCATTTTCGATGAAATTTTATTATGAGTCAGATGTGGTGGTATGCACCTTTAATCCCAGCATTCTGGAAGGCAGAAGCAGATGGAGCTCTGAGCTTGAAATCAACCTGGTCTACAGAGCCAGAACTATAGAGAGAAGAAACCTTGTCTCAAAAAAAAAAAAAAAAAAAAAAAAAAAAAGATATTCTAGAAATTCTAGTTTGATAACACAGAGAACATGGAGATTCCTACTCAAGGTTATGTGATTGCCACACCTACATTGGTAGATCCTTTTCTGACCATCTCTTGATTAGTTGGCACCAGAGTTAATAGTGCTTCTTTAAATTTAAAGTGTTTAAAAAATTCTAGATGCAAAACAAAAGGCATGTGAGCATTTGTTTAAAGTTTGTCCGAGTGTTATTGAGTCTTGCAACTGTCTCTTAGGGCCAAGGCAGCTTCCTTTGTTATTCCGTGGTCTCTGAAATAGCAACTTTGGCCTTTGTCAAATTGTTAAGAGTCAACACTCGAAAGAGAATCAGATCTCCTCTATATAAGCTGTGTATAAGAGTTTCTTCTTGATGAATGAGGTATTGTCCATTGTTTATACAGCTACCATCGGGGATTTTACCAAAAAACCCTGGCATATGAGCTTGATCTCTTTAATCTCTAAGATCATAGAAATATCACTTCTGACGTTTAAGGGGAGTTTCACTTCAGCCCTTTTGTCTTGAAGCTGGGAGTTTTTATAAAGTCATTGGGATTTCAATGTTAGGATCTTTTGAATCTTCAAATGTCAGTGCAGTTAATGTGTTTTGTCACTTTTCAAGTTAACAGCCGCATTCTGTGTTTCTCGGTCTTTATAAAGTTCTGCAGGATCGTCCCTTTGAGGTCAGGGTTTATTGGTAGTTGGTTGCACTTTATGTGGTCAGGCTTTTTTTTTTTTTTTTTTCATTTTATATTCTTCCGATTTTTCTACTTTTATTTAAAGCAATTTCTTTTAAGAATTGGTATTGTTTAGCTAGTACAAGCCTTTTTTTTTCTGCACAAGAAATTTACAGTGTGGCTGCTTTCATATTTCACCATTTCCTGAGCCGTCTTTTTTTTGTCGTCTTTTGTAGCTTCAGGATACTATTGTATAGAACGAACACACACACACACACACACACACACACACATCAGCAAACTCTTTAAGCCTCTTGGTATGTTTTATTAGAGGTCTCAGAGTTTTAAATTTGAAATGTTGCTTTTTAACCTCTAGTTTGTGATAGTCTAGCATTGCTGCAGAGTTTGAGCTGTATAGAAGTAGTGAATGACACATTTGATTCTTGGCACCGGTGAAAGGTACATGGCTGACCTTGGTGGGAGGGTCTTAGTGAGACTGTTAAAACTCCTTGCTTTCTACTGTTTCTGTGTTACCTATAGAACTTAATTGGCTAGACAAAATGACCAAAACTTTGCCAACAGAAGAAAAAGGTCAACTAGTCCAATTCAGGCTTAAATATACAGCCTTACATTTAAATGTCTTTTTGAAGTGATAGCTATGCCATTTAAATTCATAGAAATAATTTACCTAATGTTTGGCTCTATACTATAGCATTTCAGTCACATGATACTTTCATTTTCCGTAAGTTTTCCAACCCTAGAGAACTTGGCCCTGTTGAGATAGTCTGACCCACTATGGGACAGCTTCTCTCTTTAGAAAATTCATACATATGTTGAATTGAGATTTGATTCTTGGCAACTCTTCATGTTCTGGTCCACAATGTACTCATTGGGTGATCCTACAGAAGTATAATCCCTCCCTTAAGAGAGCCAGGGATGGTGGTACACAACTGTAATCCTAGCACCTGAGAGGCTGAGGCAAGAGCATTGTACGTTTGGTGCCAGTCTGGGTTACAACAGTGAGATCCTGTCTTAAAAAAACAAAACAAAACAGAACAAAACAAAACACACCTCTTAGCTTGCCTTTACTTTTAGTTACTAATAGAGAAAGTAGACTTTGTAAAACAATTTCTAGAATGGTAATTGTAAAATAAACAGTGTACTTTATTTTTTAGTTGCAAGTAAAATGCATTTTGTGTTTATATTTCTTTATTCACAGGCAACTGAAAAAGTTGGACGAAGATAGCTTAACTAAACAGCCGGAAGAAGTGTTTGATGTCTTAGAGAAACTTGGAGAAGGGTAAGTATAGACAGAGTATATGTAGGCTGGTGGGTCCCAGTCTTTCTGTTGGCCTCGTAGCTGAGGGATGTGAACCTCTCGTGGTGCCAAATTCAAGCCTGCACAAAAGAAAGAATGACATATCAGCATTGTTCCAGGTGGTATGGGAGGAAAATTTACTACTTGCAGTCTTCACCATGTGACTAAATTTAGTGTTGTCTAGTCTTTTTAATATTAAGGTTTCAATGTTTTTCCTTACAGAATTTTTTATGTGTATGATTTTATATATTTAACAGAAAGTGCTAATTAGATTATAATTCATTAAGGTTTTAAAAAGTCAGCCAGAATGGTGGTCCACACCTTTAATCTCAGCATTTAGGAGGTAGAGGCAGGCGGATCTCTGAGTTTGATGCTATCCTGGTCCACATAGCAAGTTCCAGGCCCTTTCCCTCACTTTCAAACAAAAAACAAACAAACAAACAAACAGACAAACAAAAAATAAAACAAAGAAATGCAAAGCAAAAGGAGTTAGACATAGGCAGTTTTATATACTTTTATATACTGAGGGGTTAAAGGCATGCACCATCATGCCTGGCTACATAAAGAGTTTCTTATACTTCTACACATCCTTTCAATTTAATTCTGTGTATTTATTGCTTCTTCTGTAATGATCAATACATTAAAATACTAGGGATACCTTAAGTGTTTAACTTTTGAATAGATAATAAATCCATATGATTCAGAGATAGTGTGTATGCAAACAGGCATTGTTGTATATGAAATTTTAATTCCTCCAGAATATCTCTAACGACTGACTGTGGTTTTTTCTTTTCCTGTGGCGCTAGGGATTGAGCCCAGGCTCACATACATGTCAGGCAAGTGCTCTGCCTGAGTGAAGCCTCCCTCCCCTCACTGCTGGAGAGTTTAGCATTATTATCTTTAAACACAGATCTGTAGTAATGACAAGCGCAATTCTGGGTTACGTGGAATAGATTTTCATGGATTACCTCCTTTTAGAAACATTAGTCTTCAACTTTTTGTTAGTTGAAAAAGTACTCTTTGGGATTTATCAAAAAAAAAAAAAAAAGATGCAGAGGAAGGAGGGAAAAGAACATGAGTTGTGATGCTCCACAAGCCCAAGATGGTGGAAGACTGTCTGTTGAATGGCATCTGTAAAGGTATGAGGTGGTGACAGTCACTCTGCATCTCTTGACTAGGATTTGTAGCTTTAGCTTGGCATTCTTGCTGTTCTGCTGAAGGCAATTAGTCCATGCCCCTTAATCTAACAATGTACACAGGTTGTTTTTGGACTATGATATAAATTGGTGGACATAATTGCACATGTAATTAACTTGGTGTTTTTCATTTTTAATAAGAGCATATTAGAGCAGTAAAGAACACACACACTGAAGTCACTCAGACCTAGCTTAAAAGCCTTGGTATCCCCGGGGCAGGTTTCATGGAAGTGCGTGATCCGGAAGGAAGACCTTCCTTACCTGTACTACTCCTCTAATGTAAATGCCACACCTGCCACACCACCTTCCAATGTTCCTTCAGTGAATGGGTTATGAATCCTCAGGGGCTTGTGGCTTGCTTTCAAAGTGAGCTTGTGCTGAAGAACCATGTTTGGTTCTGGAACTGATCATTTGGCTCTGTGGCAGGGTCGAGTCACAGCTTGAACCAAGATGAACGGAGAGCACCTGGAAGTTTAGAGCAGAGCTTAGCACTAGCGTCCTTTTGCTTCACACATTCGATAATTTAGGTTCCCCTCCCCCCCCCCCCCAGTATTAGATCCTCATGTATTTTAGGCAGGTCCTCTATCACTGAGCTACATTCCCAGTCTTCATTTAAGTTTTAAATATTGTGAGATAGTAACAAGTTGTTCCCTTCCTTCCATAGCTAATGAGTGCTTTTGATTAGTGAGACTTGTGCCTGTTTGAGTTGGCCTCAGATACTGTTTATTTCCATTTTTTTCTGCATTCATTCTTGCTTTGTTGGTTATGTGAAATAGCCACTTCATGATGTTCGTTCTCTGAAAGTTAAACTCACCAAATCATTGCGTTAACATCATAGGAGTCAGGTGTAAAGGGACTGCCTGTATGTGGATTATTAGCTACTTTTATTGCTTTGATGGAATACCTGATGGAAACAACTCAAAGGAAGAAAGTGTCTCCCTTTGAGAGTGGATATAGTCAGTCCAACATGGTGGAAAAAAGCGTGCTGGTGGGCACAGCTTGCAGCTGGGGCAGTGGGAGCATGAGGCAACTGGGGGGTGCTAGATAGAGGGAGCTCTAAGGTGGGGTGTAAACCTCAAGGTCACCCCTCACCAGCTCACTTCCTCCATTTTGGTCTCACTTTACAAAGGTCCCCAGCCTTCCAAAAGAGCATCGTCTTCTGGGGGCCAAGTGTTCTAAGACATGAGCCTGTTAGGGACGTATCTCTTTGACACTATAACCTTGGACATGATTGCCAAAGTCTAACTCCTTCAGGCTGTGATCTCTGTGGTGTGGGATCTTGAATCTTTGTTCAGTGTTCATCTGATCTGTTGGAGTTTCTTTGCTATCAGGATAGTCGGGGGTTTGAGGGTAGGGTTACTGCTGCAGAGCAAGTCCACTTGGAAGGCTTGCTTTTCATTCCTAATGTATAAGAATAATGAGTGAAAATTCTATTAAATATTTAACTGTAGGGCAAAGGCATTAGCTTATGTGGTGAATCAACTCGTATTTATGGTAAAATTGGAGAATGTTGAAACACGGAAAGCTGTGGAGAGCTTGTCTGTTGAAGACTATTGCTCTAATGAAAGCAGGCTTTGGGAAGCAGCTGCTGTGGGAAAACTGCAGTATCAGTACCGAGGGAAAGGAGAATTTTTGCACCTTGCAACACTCACTCCAGCATGAAGATAATTTTGCACATTCGAGGCCTAGTATTTCGGAAGGGCCTTTGGATGGCAGTAACAGAACACCTCTAGCAGTGGCTAGCTATGACGGTATTGAGTGACAAACTAATAAAGTCTCCCACAAATGGATAGTTAACTTGCTAATGGTTGGTCTGGGCAGTTCTTATGGTCACAGGGTGGTTACATTAGTTTCAGGTGTCATCCCTCTTGACAGTAACCAAAGGAAGGAGGAAAGTGACATGTGAGAACGGACAGCCCTGTGTTCTTGTCTTACTCTTGGGAAGAAAGTCTTCAGAATTCTAGCTATATAGTGTGGCCAGATCTAGCTTAGACTTTTGCTGCTGGTTCAGTCACTGGCAGAAGAGAAATGGAGTACCGTGACTGGAGGGGCCAGTCATGATTTTCCTGGGGGCTAATGCACTGCTGTCCTAATTGAGAGTCATTTTAGCAAGGAAGAAAGGGCAGTAGCTGGGTCTTCCACGCATGCTCAGCAGTTGTTTTTCTGTGGCAAAACAGTATTTGAAACTCTTTGAGTGTCTTTTTATTCTTTTTTAAGTATAAGGGATCCAGACAGAACTTTATAAGTACACTACATGCATAGATACTTTGTTAAAGAAATTTTTAAAATCTATTTTGGCAGTGAGAAATGCTCTGTTATTTTGACATTTTAGGTCACATTCTTATGTTTTGGTTGTGAGCCTAGCCTCTAAGGGCTGAGCCATCTCTCCAGCCCTAGATCACATTCTTTACTCTGATTTTCTCTTCACCAAGATAGTAGGAAGAAACAGGTGTCTTTGGTAAATTTATTTATTCTTTTGGTTTTTCAGTTTTTTTGAGACAAGGTTTCTCTGTGTAGCCCTGTCTGATCTGGAACTCACTCTGGCCTCAAACTCACAGAAATCCACCTGCCTCCCAGCTGCTGGGATTAAAGGTGTGTGCTGCTCCTGCCCTGGTGTGTCTGGGAAATTTAAGAATTGATTTTCTCATATTTCACTGAGAGCTGCCCTGGACATTAATGGGAAAAAAAAATGTATGTAAGAATCTAATGGTGTTTCACTGGAGCACCATAACACACTTGTAAGGGAGTTCGTAGGTCTTTTTTTTTTGTTATCTTGTGAATAAGAGAATTCATGCACAAGAGAGCTGACTCATGTTTTTGTAACACTGTAACGGAGATGGGATGCAGTCTTGTATCTGTAGATTCTAACCCTGATGTAGCTCCCAGATTGAGAGCCTTGGCTTTGATGAGAAACTTTTCTGGGAAGATGAGCAGATTCAGGGAAGGCAAGAAGATTTGCACATGAACTGTCCTTGTGATATTAGTGTGAAAGAGCCTAGGTCTTAATGGGTTTCCATATTTTAAACATTGCAGCATGTAGAGGAGAAAGGACAGAAAGACTGGTAATAGAGTGGCTGTAGGAAAACAGACACATGAATTGTGTTGACATGGAGAGAAAACAAGCATTGTGTTCAGTCTACATGGATTCAGATCATAAGCTCATCACTGGGTAAATCATGTGACCTTTTTAAACTTAATTTTTACTTGTAAAATAATCACCTGTTTGTCTTTAAAAATTTTTGTTTTTAAAGAATAGGCCCAGGTGTATATTTTCTAGCAGATGTCAGGGATGGTGCATGGAGGTTGTTAAAGTCATTTGGAAATTATAATCGTCAAATAGACTTGATAACTTTCTGGGTGCTGGGGATTAAACCTGGGGCTTTGCTCAAGCTAATGCTAGGTGAGTGCTCTCCCACTGTGGTTCCCACATGTGAAGTTTTAGGGTGCTACCCCACCCCTCTTCCCAGGTACTTAAGCTGTCTCAGTTTTGCAGACACAGCTAAGCTTGTAAGCATTAGGTACTTGGGATAGAAAGTAGTTCTGTGGGTTGATTGTGCTAACCTGATCTTCTGTTTCTGTGCTCTGGCTTTATAAATGGTCTCCTTTCCCAATTGCAGGTCTTATGGGAGTGTGTACAAGGCTATTCACAAAGAGACTGGCCAGATTGTTGCTATCAAGCAAGTGCCGGTGGAGTCAGACCTGCAGGAGATAATCAAAGAAATCTCCATAATGCAGCAGTGTGACAGGTAAAGTGGAGAGGGACCCTTGACAGAGTGAACGTCTGCCTTTGCTGTGTTTCTATAGTTTTGACACCTACATTTGCAGAAGGGTGAGGTCAGTGGGATCAATGCATATTTTCTGAAAAATATGAGAACGCTTATATGTTTTGTAGATAATTTACAGTTTCCATTTTTGCATTTTTCCCTTCATCAATTACTTCTTTTAGAGATAAGGAAGAGGCAGGTAGTGGCTCGTTCCTTCTTTCTTGCTCGCTCAATCACTCAATTATTCTCTCTTACTTTGTTTTGAGAATTCCCCCCCCCCCCCCCCCCCCCGGAGACAGCTGATATAATTCAAATGCAATGCATTTTAGCTCCAGAAACCATAGACTATCAGAGTGGTCTATAGACAGGGAATATTTGTTTGGGTATCAGCTGTCCATTCTATTACAGTTGAGAGTTTGTTCTTAAGTGTTTTAATTTTGAGGAACTAAAATTTGTCAAATGCTATAAGCAGGAAGTTGGCCCCAAAGTCAACCACAGAAGAACACGTGATCTATGAAGTTCCATGACAACATGGGTTGGTCACTGATGGAGCAGACATACCCAGCACTGTTTAGATGTGAGAGACAAGTCAAAGCAAGGGTGGTGCTAGGTCCGGGGAGTTGGAAGTCAGGGTGAAGAAGTTTTGCACTTGAGGTGTCAATTTTGATGAGATCAGTTTATTACTACATTCGTCAACTTTAGCAGTAGATTATGTAGGGACAGTGGATCTTGTTATGCAGGGACCTCAAATGTCCCCGACTTTGAAGTATAGCTACTGCTCATCTTCTCATCTTCCTCCCATTGCATTTTTCTTTTTGTGGTTATTGTCTACTATACAAAAACTTCCATCTTTTTTTTCCTCCTGGTTGGTTTGGCCAGAATTAAGTTACCTGTTTTTCTTTTTACCTATATGATTTACTTTACTCAAACTTCAATTTACCTTATTCATACTCTTTTTACTTGGCAAATTGGGACTGAATATAAGCTGAGTATGGAAATGCTTCTAACTAAAGTGTTTTTTTTTTTTTTTTAAAAGATTTACATATTTTTACTTTTTTTTTTCTCCCAAAACAGGGTTCCACTGTAGCTTTGGAGCCTGTCCTGGAACTAGCTCAGGAGGCAGAGGCAGGTGGCTCTCTGTGAGTTTGAGGACAGCCTGGTCAAGAGCTAGTTCCAGGACAGGCTCCAAAGCTACACAGAGAAAACCTGTCTCAAAAAAATCATTAAAAAAAAAAAAAAAAAGAAAAGAAAGAAGTGACATTTTGAAGAGCCGTCTGAATTAAGCCTTCTGAGGAAAAAAAAAAAAAAAAAAAAAAAAAAAAAGACAAGGCAGAATTCTTGTGTTCTGTTTGTTTGTTTGTTTTATTTTTGTGTTGCTGTCTTTTGAGCAAAGGGAGGGTTTTGGGGGACATTTGCCTGCTTTATTAAAGCAGCTGGAGTAAATATCAGTGGTTTTCCCTCATTTTCTGGGACTTCATAGGCCAGGCATGTATAGTTCAAGAAATCTAGCTGATAGTACAAGATTTCATAGAACATATCCCAACAGTGTGTTTGGACAATAAAGAAACAATAAAGAAAAAGACTACAGGAGGCGAGGGAAGAGGACACGCAGGGGATTATCATGAGCAGTAGGGACTCAGCTCCCTCTGCTTGCACTACAGCTCCTTTTATGCGCTGTGTTTTCCTTCTGTCTTCGTCACTGGCATATGTTCTGAGAATGAAGGGGCATTTGAAATGGAAAGTCCAGGAAGTCAGTATAGTTTTAGTATCTTTGGTTGCTATGCAACCTGGTTTCCAACAGCAGACTAGCTGTTAATGCTACAAATTGTCAAACCGAGTTTTCATTTTATTGGGATGCTCTACTTCTCAGACATTTCTTATTTGGTGTCTCCAAATTTAAGACCTAAAGTTCCAGTTTTGATAATAAATATTCTTTATATTATATAATGATGATTTTGTTACTCCTAATTGTACTCTGACTTTTTAGAAAAAAAGAAAAGAGATTGCTTTTCTTTTTGGTAAAATCATCATCATTATATATCCTTTAGTATGTCTTTCCATGTCTCTGTAGGGTTTCAACTGATTGTTTTATACCTTACCCTTTTCTCTCTTGTAAACAGGCTGCATGCGCAAACACACACACACACACACACAAACACACACACACACACACACACACACACAAAATGTGTATGAGTGTTTTGTCTATGTGTATCTGTGTATCAATTGCATACCTGGTGCCTGAGGATAGAAGAGGGTATCAGATGTTCTGCAACTGGAGTTACAGCCACCAGTGGGTGCTGGGAACTAAACCCCAGGTCTCTGGAAGGTCAGCCAGCTCTTCACAGCTGAGCCAAGTCTCCTGTCCCAGGGTATATTAAACGTTATTTATTCAGTATTCCTCCAACATGTTCTGTGGACTTGTGGTGCTATTATTTAAGTTCCTTCATATGGGATAGTCATTTAAATTGTATCTAATTTCTTTTTACCATGTCAATAGCTAATTTTTTGAGACCCTGTGATTATTTTTTGAGGATAAATTATATATTTATACTGTTTTCCTGTTTTGAATCTGTATTATTACTCTTAGGAAAATTGATTCCATTTCATGTTTTTATCAGGAGACTGTTTGTGTTAGTCCTAGCTAGAATTAATTCATTTTTTTTTAAAGATGAGAAATTACTTTCCATGCTTTGAACAGAATGAATTGAAATGTTTGAAGGGTGTTTCACTAATTTGTATTGTGTTTGTCTCCAGCCCTCATGTAGTTAAATATTATGGCAGCTACTTTAAGAACACAGACCTATGGATCGTTATGGAGTACTGTGGGGCAGGCTCTGTATCCGATATCATTCGGTTACGAAATAAGACGGTAAGTTTAACTCCTAGAAGGGGCTGCTGGCCTAGCATTTTTGTCATCTTTTTCTCAGACCTTTAAGTCACATGTTGCTTCTACACATATGGAAATCACTGTCAAATTCCACCTTCTCTTTGGGTCTCTGCTCCTTTTTACTCATCCTCTTTCCCACCTCAAACTAAGACAGAATCTTAGTATAGTCTTTTACTTTTGATCCTTCTGCTCCAGCCCAAGTGCTAGGATCACAGGAACCCCATTCCCCCATCCCCAAACTGTAGTGGTAGAATCACAGGGTGTGTTACCCTAATGTACAGCCTTAGTATTAGGGCCACAGGGGTGTGGCACCATGTTCAATTCTCTTAAAATGTAACGATTTGGTATTGACTTACTGCAGTGATTTTTGTTTACTTCTTACTAGGTGAAACAATTATGAAGTCATGTTTTGGGGATAATTTTCATTGTTTTGAGGCAGGGTTTCATGGTGAAGAGTATCCTGGAACTGACAGTGTAGTCCAGGCTGGCCTTGAACTCACACTCCTCTTATGTCATTCTCCCTACCATGCCTGGCTGTTATAGAATTACTTTTAAAAGTTAGGTGTTTGAGTAGGCTTGTGCATGTAAGTATAGGCACCCATAGAGGCTGGTTCTTGCCTACCCTGACACTGGAGTTACAGGCAATTATGAGCCCCACAGTGTGGGTGGTGGGAATCAAGTCTAGATCTTTAGGACGAGCAGAATGCTCTCTAATTGCTGAGTCATCTCTCTACCTCTAGAATGAGTTTTAAATGTTTGCTTTTGAATTTGTCTTCCTACCAAGTTTAGCCACAGAGTGTTTTTTTTTCTACTTGCTGTTGAACAGGGAATAAGCCTGTTATAAAAGAGTATTTTTTATGCCTGAGATTGTAGGATCAGACCTAAGAGTCAGGGATTATAGTTGCAGAATACTGCTGTAGGCTTTAGGGATCCTGTAGTAAGTAAGAGAGACCACAGTGTGTGGTATATGGTGCTCTTATGGCAGCACATCTTCTAGCAGGGAAATTAAAGCAAACAGGTGGCAACTAGAGAGGAAATGCAGGGTAATGAGAAATGATCTGGGGAAAATTAGTAAGGACAGTGATAGGAAAGTGGTAAAGAATCTTGGTGGGCAGAGTGGCAGGAGCAGCATCTCCTGCAGGGACACTGTAGGGAGGAACCGGTGCGAAGACTCAGAGACTGCAGTGTGTTTGGTATGTTTGGTGTTAGAAGTGCAGCCACTGAGATGGGATTAGATGAAGGGAACTTGAGAAGGTCTAATTTGAGTTAGACAGGTGGGCAGGCTTGATGGCTTTGGGTCCTGTAGGTCAGGGTGCTCTGGCTGAGTGTTTATTCCAGGTGTAGAAGGAACATTTCTAAGAAAGTAAGTGAGTCATGTGACACGGGCTTTAAAAAACAACTCTAGTTTCTGTGTAGATTGTTGAAATGGGAAATTTTAGCTCTTGGGTGGTTTTTGTTTTTGGTTGTAAGAATGGGAGTGGGCATCCCCTTATTATTTGCAGTATCTTAAGTATGCAAAAGTATACTGTAAATCATGAAGTATTACATAGGTTATAAAATGGGACTGTTTTGAAACTCAAGTTATAAATTTTGTATAATATCATTGTTTCTTTTTCTTAAGTTATGTTATTGGGAATTTGTATGTTTTCTTTATTAGACAGTAGTAAGTTCTTTAGCCAAGAGTAGTGTTCTAACATAATATAAATTTCTAGTACCAAATGGTCAGCCCTGAAAACATGTATCCAACATTATACAGATGGTTGAGGTTGTATTTATGTATTAGGAATATTTATGTATTTGTGTATATATATGTTAATGTATACAAACATATATGAATGTAACAACAATGAATAAAGAGGCCATGAATTTGAAAGAGAGCAAGACTGGAAGGCTTTGGAGAGAGGAAAAGAAGGGAGGAGATGATATAATTATAGTATAAGCTCAAAAAATGAAATAAGTAATTTAAGAGAAGTTGAAACCTTGACTAGTTTATTGATTTAAATAAAGCACCAAGTTGTTTCTCTGCCCCCACATCAGTCCAGAATTAATTGTATTGGTGAATTCTGTATCTATTGATATCTTTTTTTTTTGTTTTTGTTTTGTTTTGTTTTGTTTGTTTTTCGAGACAGGATTTCTCTGTACTGTTTTGGAGCCTGTCCTGGAACTAGCTATGTTGACCAGGCTCTCCTCGAACTCAGAAAGATCCGCCTGCCCCTGCCTCCTGAAGGCTGGGACTAAAGCCAATGCCCAGCATATCTATTGATATCTTAATACTAGTATAAACTAATAATAGTTTATATACTTAATTATTAGTTATTTTGCTATGTGTTAAAAACTAGTGTGATAGCATCTAGCCACAGGAGACTGGAATATTGTTTAAATATGAAGAAATAAGACCACAGAAAGATATAAACACTTTAAAAATTTATCATGCTAGAACCTGTCTCAAAAAAAAAAAAAAATGATGATGGTAGAATGATAATAACTGTGTTAAATGAGGTTGCCCAGGCTGAGAGCAACAGATACTACTTGCTGTCTCTGATGTGGGTCTGTTCTGAGCTGGCTCTTAGCTTCTAATGTTTTGTAAGTGCTATCCACATGGGGTGAGGAAACTAGAAAAGAGCCCATGAGGGGAAAAAGTTTACTTTAAGCAGAAAATTACTCTATAATTAAATCCAAGTGGATGTTAGCTGTATTTAAAGCCTAAAGAAGTAATGATGGATTGGATTAAGGTCTGACCACCTGTGAGAAATTTAAAATTCCTGATTATGTTCTTTTAGGAATTGCTGTTCATGCTCACTTGCAGGCACATTTCCTTTTCTGAGTATTAATGCTGCTGCTGAGGTGACACTCTGTTTTTGTACATTTCTACATGTTAAACTACTTCCATTGACTTTCATTTTTGTTCTCGTTTTGATGCTTTCCCTTGTTATTAATTCTCATTATGCAAATTTAAATCTTAGAATAAAAGTAAAAGAAAGTAGTGCCAGCAGTACAAGCTGGGTCTTGCCCATTCTGGATCCTTTTGCCCATTGCTTACTCCTGAATGTGTGTTGTTTGCCGTGCTGGGAGAGAAGTGAGAGCTGGCTGGATCTTGGGCAGGGTTTGGGTGTGATCTTCAGAGTCAGCCTGTGGTTTGATCAGAAGTCCTGGGTCTAGCACAGTCACTGTAGCCCAGTGGTTCCCAACCTTCCTAACGCTGTGACCCTTTAATACAGTTCCTCATGCTGTGATGACCCCCAGCCATAAAATTATTCTGTTGCTACTTTGTAACTGTAATTTCGCTATGTTATGAATTGTAATGAAAATATCTGATATGTGATTCTAAAGAGATCTCAACCCACATTGTTCTCGAACTATTTCATTTCCCACTCTTGATGCTTGGGATACAAAAAGTAAACAATGAAAGGCATTTTCTAATGGCATGTGTACTTGTACCTGCAGAATATGTCAGGTTGTCTCTTTGCTGACAAGGTAAAGTACGAGAACAGAGAATGACCAGGCATGGAGAAGGAAAAAGAAGGAAAGGCCTTTGTTCTGATGAGCAACATTTGGGCAGATATTGAAGAAAGCTAAGGCACAGTTGTGTAGATGGAGAGGAGCCTTAGAGGTAGAGGGAACAGGCAGGTGAAAGGAATGAGAAGGACCGGAACTTGCAGGAAACGATATGGCTGAAGTAGCTGTGCCTGAGTTTGGATATAACTTTCCCCTTTTCTGATGTGCGATGTAAAAAGGGTTGAAACTTACTACTGCTTTTTGTTTTTCAGTTAACAGAAGATGAAATAGCTACAATATTACAATCAACTCTTAAAGGACTAGAATACCTTCATTTTATGAGAAAAATACACCGAGATATTAAAGCAGGAAATATTTTGCTCAACACGGAAGGCCACGCAAAGCTTGCAGATTTCGGAGTCGCAGGTCAACTTACAGTAAGTAGAAATGGTGACTGGTACTAGTACTTCAAGCTGTGTCCCAGAATGCTATTCCACTGAGTGATTGATTTTATGTGTGTGTGTGTGAGAGAGAGAGAGAGAGAGAGAAATAGAGAGAGAGAGAGAGAGAGAGAGGGATGTTCATGTATATGCCTGTAGCATTCATGTGCATATTTGTCTTTTAATTATTCTTCGCCTTACTTTCGGTCTTTAATTGACCTGGAGGTCATTGATTCAGATAGGTTGCCTGGCTAGTGCGCTCCACGAATCTGCCTGCCTCTGCCTCTCCAGAATGAGATTCCAGATATGTGCTGTAGCATCTGGCTTCTTGTGTGGAGCTGGAGAGCCATGCTCAGGTTCTCATATGAACAGTGAAGCAAATGCTTTACTGACTGAAATGTCATCCCAGCCCCTACTTATTAAAAAAAAAAAATACTCGATTTAATTGTGTTAATACAAATTTGTAGAATTTACAAACAGATTACTAAATAGCTAATAGCAGTTTTAGATCTTTTTTGGGGTTCAGGCGCATGCTATAAAAATGGAAACTAATGTAAGACATGAGTATTAATTTAAATCTGTCAAAAACATAAGAGGATGGCAGACTGAACCAGGCTGCTCTCTCTCCTTTAGCAACCTCTAAGCAGTTAGTCACAGCACTGGAAGCACTCCTGCTTGTTCAGGGTTGCCTCTCCATTTCCCTCCTGTCTGGCTTGTGCTTGCCAGTGACAAAGAAAGCTGTTCAAAACAGGAGGACTAGAATTACCTGCTTTTGTTGAAGATGGAGGTGTCCGTCCTGCCTGGTCCCACAGCCACTCTGCCCCAAATAGATACATGAAGACTTATGTTAAGTATAAAATGGTTGGCCAATGGCTTAGGCTTCTTACTGTCTAGCTCTCTCTTAATTATTAATCCATTTCTATTTACCTATGTATTGCCACAAGGCTGTGGCTTACCTGTAATCCATGTTACTCCTTCGGCAGCATTGCACCTCTCCCTTGCAGCCTCTCTCTCCTCCCTCTCCCCAGAATCCTCCTTGTCTGGTAGACCCAAGATGCTTTTGCATTTACTGACATCTTTCATTTTTCATCAGTATTATCATTTAATTGTACAGTAAGCATTATGTATTAATTTGGTTAGTTTATTCTCTAGTGGTTTGTTCTCTTTGATATTACTTTAAGTAGAACACTTTGTTTTCAAATTGTTCATTGTTAGTGAATGTGGGTGTGGTTGATTTTTATATATTGTGTCCTGCAGCATTGCTGAGCTTATTTATTACTAGTTTTCATTTTAAAAAGCTTTATAGACCAGATTGATCTCAAACTCAGGGAGATTTGCCTGCCTTTGCTTCCCAGGTTTTAGGACTAAAGCCATGTGCTGTTTTATTATTTTTCTTATGTGTATGCATGTATTGTGTAATAGGTACATTCATGTGAGTGTAGGTGCCCTAGGGAGAGTGGTCAGAGGTGTCAGAACAATTGTGAGCTGCTTGATGTGGCTGCTGTGAACCAAACTCAGACCCTCTGGCAGTAGGGAGTGCTCTTACTTGCTGAGCCCTTCCTCTAGCCATCTGTATGTATTGATTTATTTTTGTGAAAGGGCTTTGCAGTACAGCCTTGGCTGGCTTGGACCTCTTGGTTCCCTTGCTTTAGCCTTCTGAATGCCGGGATTAGATGCCTGTGCCGGGATCCTTGGCTTTTTAAATCCTTCCAAGTCCTTCAATCCAGGGTTGTTTCGAGGTCCTCTTTCATCATCCTCAATGCCAGCAGTTTCTAAGCCGTTTGGAAGGGTCTGTGCTGGAATTAGTTTGTTCCAGTTTTCCCAGTGACTGACTCAAGAGTCCATTTGATTGTCTGCTCAGTTAGTTACTGTTCAGCCAGCCATCTGCTTTCCAGCTTCCAGCATTTTGTGGCTTTGCTTTGCATTTTCAGATGGTTTTGGGAAGAAGTAAAAATAAGTGTATTTGTTCAGTCTCTCTATCATCTTTAGCAGAAGTCTGTAATTAGTTTCTTTTTCTGCTTTGGAGACAGTCTTCTGTAGCACATCCTGGCCTTGGATCCATCCCTCTGCCTCAGCCTCCCTGGTTAGCAGCATATGACTGGCTCTCTCTCAGTTTCTGATACAGCTTGGGTTTTCCTGTGTGAATGTGCCACGATTCATTGAACTCCTCCCCTTTTGCAAACTGGTACTCACTGGTGTTGTTTTCTAAGTCTCCACAACTTCTTCTGTAGTAAACATAGGATGGTCCTATTTTTAAGAATTTCTTTGATTTTATCCTTAGGACAATATCCTTTTTTTTTTTTTTTTTTTTTTTTTTAATGAGATGTGGTCTTACTATGTAGCCCTGGCTGGCTGGTCTGGAGCTTGCTGTGTGAAACAGGCTGGCTCAAACTCACATGCACTCCTGCCTCTGCCTTCCAAGTGTGTGCATCATCATTCCAGGCTTCCTTCTTGTAGCTGAGGTTGACCTGGAATTTCCTACAGCCTGGTCTTGAAATTGTGTGAGTTTTCCTGCCTCAATCTCTTGAGAGTGCTTGGATTACAAGTGTGGACTAACCCCCATTGAAAAAAATGTATTTGTTGCTCATAAGAGATGGTTCAGATGGCAAAAGCTTGCAAGCCTGACAACCTGAATATCATCCTCTGGGCTCATGGCGGAGGGGAAACTCACTCCGGTAGTTGTCCTCTGATCTCTGCAGGCTCAGGTTCTCTCTCTCTCTCTCTCTCTCTCTCTCTCTCTCTCTCTCTCTCTCTCTCTCTCTCTCTCTCTCTCGCACGCACGCACACACACACATACGCTACTAAGTTGTTAGAAAGGTGAACCCAGAACTAAGACATTGTTAAGTTGTCCCTCCTTCGCCATGGTTGAAACGGCTCCCTTTGCTAGTTGTCTTTTGATATGGGTTTAAAAAACATAGAAGTCTCAGACTATTTGTATGTGTGAGTGTAGATGCCTGAGGAGGCCAGAAGAAGGGATTGGAGTTATGGGTGATTGTGTGCCACTGTACATGGGTGCTGGGAACCAAATTCAGCTCCTCCAGAAGAGCAGGAGTGCTCTGAACCACTGAGACATCTCTTCTGCCCCTTACGTTCTGAATTTTATATAGAATCGCCCCCACCTTGGATTTTTGTCTTCGCTGTTCTATTCTAGCATCATATAGCAGTTCATCTATACTTTCAGGATCCCTCTGGGTTTTGTTTTCTTAAATTTGAGGATTAACTTATTTGAACTTATTTGGTGAAAGCATAAGTTAGGGATTTAAGTTTAGAGTTTTATAGATGACTACCTAGCTTTTAGTGCTCTTCTTTATGGGTGTCGTTATGTAGCATCAGCTGATCTAGAACTTTGATATAGACCAGGTTGGCCTTGAATGCTTAAGAGTTCTGCCTGTCTCTACCCCCAAATGCTGGGGCTAAAGGTGTGTGCCACCACACTGGGCCAGAGCTTTGTAGTTTGGGGATATTCTGTTTTTGGCATGCTAGTTTGAAAGCATTTTATTTTAAGTTGTTTGTGCCATATGGATCTGACTGGCTTTTGATTGTGTGCATATTTAAATATATGTGCCATGATTTCTCTCTGGATTTAATGTTCTTTATTATTCTTTTGTGCTTTGTTAACTTGACTTAGATCTAATTGGAGTTTAGGATACACTGGTCACTTAATTTTCAAAACATCTTCCATTATGTGAGTATCCATTTCTGGTTGAAATAATCTAGTAAAAACAACTTTCGGTATCACCATTTGAAAACATCCTGGCAAGTTTGAGGTTTCAAGAGCTAAGGAAATGATTAAGCCCAAGTTGTTTCCTTTGTTGTTGTTTTTTTTTTTAATTTAATTTTTTTATTTCATGTGTGTTGTGTGAAAGCTTAGGATCCTCTAGAACTGGACAGTTGTGAGCTGCTGTGTGGTTGCTGGGAATTAAACCCAGGTCCTCTGGAAGAGCAGCCAGTGCTCTTAATTACTGGGGACCCCATTCACTTTTTTTTTTTTTTTAATATATGATGAACAGTGTGAGATCAGTTCACAAGTGCCACCTGTCATTGCTCCTGAGTGATGTAATCTAAGTCACAAGCACTTTAGGAGTGTGGGACTAGGGAGGCTCTTTTGCATCTTTGTGTTTGGAAGTCCTCTCCTTAAGGTGCATCAATTGTAGCAAGATTCTCAGTAGGATCAAGCCAGTCTGGGAACGTGCATGTGCTTATTAGTGTAGTGTGTGCTGTAGCCACATACCCTTCTTCAAACCACAGGTCACATCTGGTACCATGTTTACATCTAAGTTTTAAAATGGTTTTTCTAAGTGCACGTGTGAACCAAGGGAGTATTACATAAACCTGCAAGACAGATGACAAATGAGTAATTCTGCCTTCTAGATGTGACTGTTATTGATAATGTTTATTGCTCTGGGCTGTTTTTTCTGCTACACAGGGTGGTTTCTTTTTATTGGTTGTTATATGTTGTCGTGATTGTCATTTTGTTTTTACAGAAATAAAGCTGTATAACTTATCATTTTGTAAACTGTGTTTTGTGTGTGTATGTGATGAAATGTCTTACACATCTTTCATACCTATTTCTGTTTGAAATAGGGGCTTGAGATGTAGTCCTGGCTAGCCTCAAACTTAAGATCCCCCTGATATTATCTCTCATGTCTCATTGTGCTTGGATTATAGGTGAGTGTTCACTGTGCCTTCCTCTTAAGAGAACTTTTAATGTAGCATTTTAGTATATGGGTAGCTATTGTAACATTTATTTATTTTTTTCTATTTAAGGCAGGGTCTCATTAGGTAGCCCTACTGTCCTGGAACTTGCTATGTAGACCAAGAAAGCCTTGAACACATGTACAAAGATCCATTTGCCTCTGCCTCTTGGGTGCTAGGATTATAGGCTTGTGATACCATGGTTGGCTTTATTTATTTATGTGTTTGAGACTAGGTTTCATTCTAGAGCCCCTGCCATTTTGGAGCTCACATGTAGTCTAGGTTGGTCTTGAATTCTCTCAGTGATCTTCTTACATCAGCTCCCCAAGGACTCAGGTTACAAGTGTTAGGTACCTTTGTGATAATTTAAAAGAAAAATGATTTATTGAGATGGGATCTTGGCAGTGTTGTCTACCCGATCTTCAGCTTCTTTGTTCTGTGGCCTTCCTGAGTAGCTGGAATTATAGGCTTGATAGTCATTTTAATCGGTCCTACTTCCCTTGTTACAAACATTCTATGATCTTGTGTGTATGTTTGGGGTACTTGTGTGTAAGACAAATTTCTAGAAAGATACTTGAATAGAAAGATAGGGATATTTGAAAGTTTGCTAAAATTGACAGTTTGTTGTGAGGTTGTACCATCTCTTGCTCCAGGAACCCTGTCTTTCAGTTGTTGATTTCCTATGTTTGTGTCAGTACTGGTTTAAATTTTAATAATTTTATATTTTAATAATTGATTGAAAATCTTTATGGTTCTTGGCCATTTGAATTTCTTTTTAAAAAATATTTATTTGACTTTATTTTATTTGCATTGATATGGAAGGTGTCAGATCCCTTGAAACTGAAGTTACAGATAGTTGTGAGCTGATATATGGATGCTGGGAATTGAACCCAGGTCCCCTGGAAGAGCAGCCAGTGCTTTTAACCTCTGAGCCATCTCTCCAGTCCCCCATTTGAATTTCTTTAGTGACTAGTCTCATTATGTATTGAGTATTATTTTTAGATATGTTTTAAGAACAAAGTAATTATTCTTTTTTGTTTTGAATGTTTTTTTATTTGATCCTTAAGACTATACACACACACATACACACACATATATATTTATTATTTTTTCTTATTTTACATATTGGTCTCAGTTCCCTCACTCCATTGAAGAAAGCTGGGTTTTCTTTTCTCAATAGCTAACTTGCAAATAGGGGTGGGACTTGTCCCAACTTTTTGCATGTTGTCCAGTTGTGGTGGGTCTCTGCTAATTTTCAGAAGCTTGTCTGGTGATGGTCTAGTGATGTGTTGATCTATGGATCTAGCAGATGTCATTAGGAGTTGTTTTATTACTATGTCCATTAGCAAAAGAAATGTTTCCCCTAGGGCTGATGACCTAGCTAGTCTTAGGTTCTTGGCCTCATTGACAGTATCAGGTAGGGGTTCCATCTCATGGAGTGATCCTTAACTAAAGTCTAAGCAAAGCGTAATTGATTACTTTCATGACAATTGTGCCACTCTTGTACTACTGGACTTAAAGCTTTTTTTTTTTTTTTTTTTTTTTTTTTTTAATTTCAAACACTTATGCTTTTTTCTTTCCTCAGTAATTTTCATGCTTTGTGTTGATCTTCCCTTTCCATTTTAGGATACTATGGCAAAGAGGAATACAGTGATAGGAACACCGTTTTGGATGGCTCCTGAAGTTATTCAGGAAATTGGCTACAACTGTGTGGCAGACATCTGGTCTCTGGGAATAACCGCCATAGAAATGGCTGAAGGAAAGCCCCCATATGCTGATATCCACCCAATGCGGGTAAGGAAGCAACCAGTTGGATGATTAGTTACTGGTTATCAGTACAAAGTTACTTGGCAACTTCCTTGCTTATATTCCAAACAGGAAATGAACTAATTTTATACAATGATAAATGCTACTGTATTCTTCCCCTGGCATTAAATGCAGTTAATCATTAATCTGAATCTAGTTCATTTTTGCCTTCTAGAGTATGTGTCTTGATAGTCTCCTTGAAGGACATAGGCTATAGATATGTATGGATTGACTTACATATTATATACATTGTATATACCTTTAAAAGCTTAGATAACTACATTTTTAGCTTTGTGACTATATAGACTTTCCATTCAGTCATTCTCTATGACTCCCCATTGGGTGGCGAGGTGTCAGACACCACTCCCTGCAGTGTCTCCTTCAGTGTGCGTTTGCACTCACATCACTAGCCACCCATTTTGGTTCACAGACTGTCTTTTTCGTGCTTGATCTCTGTAGGTGTTTTGGTTTGTGAATCTTCAGACTCCATCTGGTGGCTGTTTTCTCTCCAGCCTGCCACCTGTGTCCACTTAAAGCATTATGGCTCACAGGCTATACCTCCCACAACCTCTCTCAGTGCTGATACCCTGAGGAGTTCCCAGGCTTCACTCATTCTATGAACACACAGTTGAAAGACCCCAGCCCTGCCTTTCCCAGAGCCGCCACAGCCTTCCCCACTCCACACCAGTTATTCCTTGTATTTAATTAACTCATTATTTTGCTAAAAAAACTTTATTTGGTTGGTTGGTTTTTCGAGACAGGGTTTCTTTGTAGCTTTGGAACCTGTCCTGGAACTTGCTCTGTAGATCAGGCTGGCCTTGAAGTTTTAATAAGTATTTGTATGCCCAAGACAAATTCCTTTCTTTTTTTGTGGGACTGAAGAGGCAAGGAATGGAGGGTTTCCAGAGTCATACTTTTAGATTTTATTAAAGAGTGCAACTTAAACTGTCTAATGCAGAGAGTTTTATCTCTCATAAAGTAGGGGTTTCCATCATTTAAAATTTAGCAGTTAGTAGTCTTTTTAAAGAGAGGCTTATTATTTTAATTGTGTGGTATCCTTAGAGGCCGGAAGAGGATGTCAGAGCTCCTGAAGCTGGAGTTGTAAGTGGTTGTTAACTGCTTGATATGGGTGCTGGGAACTGAACCCAGGCCCTCAGGAAGAACACTGTGTGATATTAACTACTGAGCAATCTGTCCAGCCCTTAATAATAACCTCAGTCTTGTAAAGTAGAATTTAATTGTGCTTCATTATAGTGCTTGATTTTTAGTTTTTCTTTTCTACAGAGTGAGGATTTGAGGAGCTGGAACTATCTTAAGTGTCAGAGCTCCTATTTGCCACTCACAGGTCCTGCATTCAGTCCTCAGTAACACACACACACACACACACACACACACACACACACACACACACACACACACGCTCACTTTGTCCTTACCCCAGACCCCATACTCATGTCTTCACACATGATTGAAAAATGAAGATTAACAAATATCATTTTGTGTGGATTGAGGCTGACAGCTCCCTTGTGATTTTTCTGAACTTCTGGATGATCTTGAAGTCATCTCTGATGCTCATTTTGAAGGAGGGAAGTTTAACAACTATGGGGCTGAAGTTCAGGGTACGGATACTCAGAGGTGGTGCCTTTCCACGTTGAAACCCGTGTGGTATGGTTGTCCCTTGTCCAAAGTTGCTTGAGGCTGAAGAGATGGCTCCCTTGGTCAAGTGTTTGCCTTGTAAGCATAAGGATCTGAGTTCATTCTCTAGCATCTAAACAAAAGGCTGGATGTGGTGATGTGTGTTTAGGACACCATGGCTGGCTGGCTGCCTAACTTAATCATTGAGCTCCCTGTCCCAGTGAGACTCAAAGACAAGATGAATGGTTCCTGAGGAGCCACACTTTTTATTTGGTTAGTAGTGGGGATTGAACTGGGATCTCATTTATGTGAGACAGCTGCCCTACCACTGAGCTATAATCTCACTCAGGAGTGACACTTGAGGTTGTTCTTTGGTCTCCATGCATGCGTGCACATATGTTTATGTACTTGGAACACACCTCATGAACATGCAGATACTACCACACATATACACAAACACACAAGCTTCATGTGAGCAAGGGAAAGGGAAGGAGAGAGGTATCAGAGCCTGGTTTCTGTACTCCATGTGGGCGTGCTTTGTGTTTGGATAAGTGAAAAATCATTTTTACCAAGCAAACGTAATTGTTTGTATTGGAGTGTCATTTTCACCCCCTCTTTTTTTTTTTTTTTTTTTTTTTTTTTAAAAACTAGGCAATATTCATGATTCCTACAAACCCTCCTCCCACATTCCGTAAGCCAGAACTGTGGTCAGACAACTTCATGGATTTTGTGAAGCAGTGTCTGGTAAAAAGCCCTGAGCAGAGAGCCACAGCCACTCAGCTCCTCCAGGTATGTGTCACCTCTCTGTGCCATTGACACACTGCTAAGTCATTTGTTTGGACATAGGAATATGGTATAAGAAAGACATTCCATCGTGCGAGGGAGGTTTAAAGCTATTGAGAGAGAAGGGTGTAGAAAATACTTGAAGAGCATAGAAGCAAAGGAAGAAAGTGCATCACGAATGAGTTTAAGAGCAGTAAGAAGCTCAGAAACATTTCTCCCATGAGGAAGAACGAAGAACAAACAGTAGGTAGGTGATAGCTCAAGACTGATGTCACGTCGTAACAGGCCAGATGTGCCAAATATGCACAGTCCAGGAAGAGTAGAAGGAAATGACCTTGAATTCTTTGCGAGTACAGAGAACAAGGTGATATGCCATTCTTGCTAATGACCTAGCTCTTCTAAGTGTATTGCCAAATCTGCCTAGACGAAGTGGTGATGGGGCTTTATGAAGAGCCTTCTGGTCTGCAGTCCACCATGGCTGAAGCATCCTTTCATCCTTTAGAGTATTTAACAAAGGCTGGGACACCTTTGTCCTGTTGGGGATGGGAACAGGGATGTGCTGTCCCTGCAAGGAGGAGACATGGGGTACTTTCAGAGTAAGTTTGGGTGTATAGGCAACACCTGCAAAGAATTTTCTATATGTAGCTTATCTGCCGGGGCTTCCTGTTGCTCTGCAAAGGCAGGAAAAACCTAAGATGGGGCTGGTACAGTGTCTCAGAGGGTAGAGGTGCCTGTCCCAGGCCTGCAACCTGAATTCAGACATTGGAACTAACTCTGTCAATGCAATAAAGAAGAAGAAAGAGTCTGTAGGTGAGACTAAGGGAGATGGCACAGGTCCAAACGGTCATTTGCCTCCTTAAAGTCGTGGAGTGTGGCTTAGTTGCTCCTGATGTGAAGAGACTGATTTGTATGCAAATATTGCCAGATTTCTACTGTGTGCCATGTACTGTTTTAAAGTAAAAATTGTGTCCTTTGTTCTCCATTTTATTTAAGCATCCATTTGTCAAGAGTGCGAAAGGAGTGTCGATATTGCGAGACTTAATTAACGAAGCCATGGATGTGAAATTGAAACGCCAGGAAGCCCAGCAGCGGGAAGTGGACCAGGATGACGATGAGAACTCGGTGAGTGGCAGGCAATGTGGTGGCTTCAGGAATAAATGCTTGTTAGGTCATGATTGCCACCTGAGATAAATAGCTGCTGTGGGGCAGCCTGGAGCGCGCGACTCCAATAGCACTTTGTCCCACGTCTCATTCACTGTTGCTGGGCCCTGGGTGGGTCTGTGTTTGCTTGTTACTCAGTGTTTCTCAAAACACGTTTTATTGTTTTGCCCCCATACCTTTTATCCAGTCTATCTTTTCTGAGAGAGGGAGAGGTGTGGGGGGCGCGGAGGGAAGATAACCCCCAGTTGGGCAACTTGGTTTTCCCAAGCTCTTTTAAAATTTTCATACCGTATTCTGGAGTCACTCACAACGTCGGAGATTCCAAGGGTACTTGTGTCAGCCTCTTAGATCTGTGCTGGAAGTCAAATGAGAAGGAAGAGGAAGGGCCTTCCGGTTAGACATGCAGTTGTCACATGGGTGATTTTATTGTCATCTGTAGTTAAATATGTGCTTTTCAGCTTCCAAGGTCTGTATACAACTAGAGGCGTGTCAAATCCAGGAATGTTTGCATCAAGATGAATAACAGTAATTCAGAAAATTCAGAGTCTTTGAACAAGTTCGCTCCAGTTTGAGATTTTGTTCATTTGCAGGAGGAGGATGAGATGGATTCTGGCACAATGGTTCGAGCTGCAGGTGAAGAGATGGGCACTGTCCGAGTAGCCAGTACAATGAGTGATGGAGCCAATACTATGATTGAGCACAATGACACATTGCCATCCCAGCTGGGAACCATGGTGATCAACACGGAGGACGAGGAAGAGGAAGGAACTATGAAAAGTGAGGCTCTGACACACTAACTGATCCGGAGATGGGTTCTCCTGGCACATGCCCTCTTAGTCTTGGGTCTGTTCTGTTGCCTTAGCTAAGTGCCTTACAGGAAGAGATATGCTCAGTAGGAGGCTGTGTTGGAGGGCTGTGTGGAGCAGGGACTGTGGGAAGGGATTTGCTTTTGAACCTCAGTGGCTGTCCTCTCATTAAATGTTGTCACTGAAGGATCCTCCTGGAGGAGGGCATGTACATTGTTTTGATACATAATTCATCTCAGTTGGTAATGAAATTTAAAATGCTGTACATATCTTCAGTCCATTTTCATGATAGTGTCTGTTTAACCAAGATGATTGAGCAGGATCATCAGAAGAACCCTTCTCTCCCCTCCCTCCCTCCTCCTTCCCTGCTATTATTTCTTCTCTCTCTCCTTTCCTTCCTCCCTCTACTCTGGTCCCCCCTTTTTTTCTTTGCTGGGGATTAAACCCCTGAGCCTCACACATGCTAGGTAAGTACTCTACCACTGAGCTACACTCTGCCCAGACTTCTTTCCCTCAAACTTTTGGACTTAAGCTGCTGCCTGTGATCAGAGTCCAGGCCTGGTGTTTCCAGGTTTTTGCCATTGTATTGAGGAATGAAATAAAAGCCTAATAGATTACAGAGTAGCAAGGCAACTACATAGGCCAAGCACAGGTCAGAATACGCTGAAGGAGAGCAGTAGCCACAGGAAGGCACAGGCACTGCCTAAGGCTTCTCTTTGTGAGAGCCTAGAGGAAGGAGGGACTGGCTTCTAAGGGAAGTAGTTTGGGGTGGTTCTGTTATTTGATTGATAGATTAGTATCTATGGTCATTGCCCAATATTATGCATGTCTCTTTCTATAATGCAGCTGAGTCCTGTCTCCCTAAAAGTTCACTTGAGGACACACTTATGCCTGGTTGTGCATGAATCTAAAACTAATTCAGGCCAGATTTCCCTGTCTTGCCTTGTGCTTGGGCATGAGAAGAATATGACTGCATAGTGTTTGTCTAAGTTGTCAAGGGGAGGAGAAACTTATTCCAGTATTCAGTTAGGGTGTGTGTGTACCTTGGTCAGATGGAGTCTAAGTTGCTAACAGGTTGCTAGGCGCATTTTGCAGAGAGGAGTGCGTGTGAATAGTGGGTACAGGTAAAGGACCTACCCAGATGGAGTCCCAGATTACTAAACCGTTTCTAGTGCTTGCCTGCCTCAAAGTGGTTCTCTTGCTCCAGCCTCCCAAGTAGCCTGGGTTATAGGCATGTGCCTCAGACCTGGGTTTGCCTTTCCTGGCTGATCCGTCCTGCGACTGGTCACATTTCTGTGTTTGGCTACTGACTTAAAGGTCCCTTTAGTACCCGAACTTACAGGCCAACTCACAGAGGGAAAAGTTTGAGAGTACAAAATATTAACTGAGATGTATAGGTTCAATTTAGCCTAAACTTTGCATGGGTCTAAAGACCTGGGTCTCGTTGGTTGTCTTCTTTTCTCCCTTTAGCTCTCTACCCCCGTTCTAGGGATCAAACTCTGGGCTCCACATGTGCCGTCTACTGCTTGCTCACCTCAGCCTCCACAGAGAATGTTTGTGTCTTTCTTGTAATCCAGGGATCAGCAAACCAGCCTGTAGCCTGCCACCTCCTTTTGGTATAAGGCTCTACTGGAACACAGTCATAGCCATTTCTTTGTTGCTTTTGGTGCCTCTGTACTGACAAGGCTGAACTGAGTACCTGTGAAGACTGTTGCCTCCAAGGCCTGAAACGCTTTCTGTGTGCTCCTTTACAGACAGAGAAAGTCTGTTGGCTAGTAGAACACTTGACTAGTGCGTGTGAAGCCCTGGGTTTGGTCTTTAGGGAGGTGCACAATTAAAGGGAAGAAAGCAAAAGTGATCAACAGACTTGGGGCTTTAAACGCAAGCAAGGGGGTCATACTGGGATGGCTTATACGTAGGATCTGGATAGTCCGAACATGGCTGGCTGCAGACTGGGGAGGCTGAGAACCAGAGAGCTGCTCAGTCCCCAAAGCTGGATGTCTCAGCAGTCCCTGTCTGGTCTTGAGGGCTTGGAAGATCCTGGAGAGTCACTGGTCTTCAGTCTGTGTTGAAAAACCCAAGAAACTGGAGTCTGATGCCTGTGGGGGCCGACAGTGACAGTGACTGCAGCAGCCACAGGGATAGGTGTGTCAGGAGCAGAGACAGGCTAGCAGGCAAGATCGCTTTCCCCTCAGGCCTTTCTGTATCTGGGCTGCCAGGTGGTGCCATCCCCTCTCAGGGAGAGACTTCTCTCAGTCAGTCCTTTTCATAAATGCTCACAGACTGACTCATAGTTGTATCTCTGAGTTGATCCCAGATGCCATCAGGTTCAGTGAGTGAAATGAGTTCTGATACCTGGGTAAGCTGAGGGTGTGGTCATAGTAGAGCAGAAGGGCTCCTTACCTAAGGGCCGCCAGCTTGGCAGCAGGCAGCAGAGGGAGGTACTCCAGCAGAGGGAGCACTTTCACAAGAGCCTCACCAAGAGCTTGGTGAGCGGAGGAACTGAGGGCAGGGTTCTCAAGTCTTCTCTACTCCTTACCTTTCAGGCTATGGCTTGCATGGTAATCACTAACCTTGTTCTCAAAGGCAAAATATTTCCCTTTTTCTGATCTGGAGCTCAGATTCATTATATCTGAGGCTGCGAAGGAGTGGTAATGTTATTGGCAGATTCATACATTCATACATATGGAATGCCTTGTGTATCTGGCATTTAAAAAGTTCAGATATGGGGCTGGAGAGATTGCCCCATATTTAAAAGCATTTGCTGTTCTTCCCGAGGAGCTGAGTTCAATTCCCGGCACCCACCTCAGGTGGTTCATAACCCTTGTAACTCCAGCTTCATGGGATCAGTACCCTTTCTAGACTTTGCAGACACCTGTATTCACACATAAACAGACCTCTTGCTATGTACAAATAATTAAAAATCAATCTTAAAAGAAGGGGTCAAACCTTTGACCCAGTAAATTCCACTACTAGGAACCAGGCCTAAGAAAATAATTAAAAATAACAGATAAATTAAATTCAAGAATTTTTCTAGAATACTTGTGTATACAAAAACATTAGGTACAGTCCCAGCTCTTAGCTGAAATCTGAAGACTGGATTTTAACTAATTGTACTTGTCTGAAGACATATTGGTAATTCTTGTTAGTTTGTAGGATATGTGCAGGGCAGACTCTGCCTGTTGTTTTTCAATGAGAATTCTAGAAGAACTTCTCTTGATCTCAGAATTGTCAGTATTGGGATTGTTGTACTTCCTCTGTGCCAGCAGAGGGAGCTCTGTAATAGGCTATGAATTCAAACTGTGTTCCCATTCATGTCTGCCAATACCCTTTCTTTTTGGATCAAGGCTATTATTTATGTACTTTTAAGTATATATGTGTGTGTGTGTGTGTGTATTTTATTTTCTCTTATCTAATGTGTTTGGGTGTTTTGTCTGTGTATGTATGTATGTATGTATATATGTATATATGTATATATGTATGTGTACATGTGTGCCCAGAGCCTGCAGGGATTAGAAAAAGTTATTGACTCTGTTGGAACTGTACTTACTTTGAGCCACCATGCAGGTGCTAAAAATTGAACCTTGGTCCTCTGGAAGAGCGACCAGTGCTGTTAACTGCTCAACCATCTCTCCATCCTCACCTTTATTTTGAGTCTGTTTTGAGTTACCACAGCAACACTAGCGCCTTGCCTCTATTTCATTTAGTTAGGAGATTGGACACTTGGCAGAGGTGAAGTCTGAGTCAGCCAGAGCACCTCAGCACAGAATCTTTTCCTCTCAGAGTTCTAGTGGACTTGGGTGGGAATTGGTTTTGTCATTATTTAGCACCGTGCCACACATAGCTTTTTAAAATGTCATCAGTTTAAGCCATCCCAACCAAATAATGGAATAAGATTTCAAACCATAACTCATGTGTAGAACTTATTTGGGGTAAAGTTATACTATGTATAAAAATAAGTGTTAAAGATATTTTGTAACCATTTGTTGTTTGGTATTTTGGTATATCCCAGTTTTGGTTTTGGAAGTGCAGTGGCTAGAACCTTCCACCGCTTGCATGCCAGAGCTGCGTAGCATCTCACTTGAATCTGGATTATTTTTATGTTTAATGCAAAAAAGGGTAATCGGAGGAACCTTTTTTGATTTGCAGAATTTCTTTGTATCTGGGTACTGATGTTTTTGGCATATGGTTTCTTCATTGTAATTATCTTACCCTAGCTCATGACTTGTGCCCCTAGCTTGCAACCATTCTTAGCAACTGTAGTTTTTAATGACATCAGATTGTTCTAAATTTTCTTTTTTTTTCCTGAACATCCATTCACCTATTTTTTTAAATTTATTTTTCATATTGATCCCAGTTCTCCCTCCCTCCTGCTCTCCCTCCTTCCCATCCTCCCTCCCACCTTCCCATGCCCACCCCCCCGCCCAACTCCACATGTAGGGTGATGCCTTACAGGAGGGATCATCATAATCTGTCAAGTCATTTAGAGTAGGGACTAGACCCTCCCTCCTGCCTCTAGGTTAAGGGAGTATCCCTCCATGGGGAATGTGCTCCCAAAGTCCTTTTGTGCATCAGGGATACATCCTGGTTCTACTTTTCGAGGTCCCTTAGACTGCCTAGGCCTTCTAACTGAGACCCATGTTCAGGGGGTCTGAGTTGGTCCAATGCTGGTTTCCCAGCTATCAGTCTGGGGGTCCATGAATTCCTCCTTGTTCAGGTCAGCTGTCTCTGTAGATTTCTGTAGCCTAGTTTTGTCCTCCCTCTCTGCATCTGGATTCTAGTTCAGCTCAGTGGGCTCTATGATGGTGGATGAGTTAGTCATCAATCTTATTATCAGGGAAGGGCATTTATGGTAGCCTTTCCACTGTTGCTCATATTGTTAGTTGGGGTCAGTCTTGTATTTCTCTAGAGTCAGTTTTCTCTTCAAACCTATAATGGCTCTCTCTTTTATGGTATCTCTCCCTTTTTTTT